GGGGCTGCAGGGGAACACTGGAAGGGGTGTGCCTTTGCAAATTACTTGTTCTTTCATCGCAATTTTGAGTTAACAAGACTGTCTCTTGAGTCTTTCCACTTGATCATCAAATGAGCAATGAGGTGGACAAGGAGGTACTGTTAGCTCTGCTTATGTCAATGGATCAAAACCTAGAGGACCTAGGATTTTGTCTTTTAAATCTTCCTTGAATAAAAAATAAGTAAGCAGGGGCACCTGGGTGGCTCAGTGGGTTAAGCCTCTGCCTCTGGCTCAGGTCAAGATCTCAGGGGTCCTGGCATTGAGCCCCTCATCAGGCTCTCTGCTCAGCAGGGCACCTGCTTCCCCCCACCCACTGCCACCTTGTGATCTCTGTCTGTCAAATAAATAAATAAAATCTTAAAAAATATATAAGTAAGCCACAGAAAGATGTGTTCATAACATTTCCAAATTGGAACAGTCAGTTAGAGGAGACTATTTAATAAGAGACCTAAGACTAAGGTATGGTAGGTTAGGATGCTTGGCACAGACTATATGGCTGGAGGGAGAGGCTGGAAGTGGTGACTCAAAGAAAACAAAGTCATATGAAATGTGAGGGGGACATCAGAGGAAAAGGAAGAGGCCATGAGCACTAAAACACATTTGGAAAGGTGAAATCAAAAATAAATACACAGACACACAAATACAACCTATACTTTCCAAGCACCTGGCTAGACAGAGAATAGCAAAATCATGACTTCTCTCCCTTTAAATATATATGCCTCAGCCTGCAATTGTTGCCCTTTTACGGACTTTTCCACTTTTCTTCTGCCTTCAAAGGCTGCTCTTTTGAACTGTAGAACACTGGGATGTTGGACAAAATATATACTGGCCATTGAATCATCATTCCTTTATGTAATCACCACACTTGAGTAAGGAAATACCTAGTATGGTTTGGTTTGGAGATAATAAGGAAGAACTGTTTCAAAACAGTTTTTTTACTCCTGAACAGTGTCTATCTTACATAGTCCAATAAGTTACTTTTCCTTTTTTTTTTTTAAGATTTTATTTATTTATTTGAGAGAGAGAGAGAGTGAGAGAGAACATGAGGAGGGAGAAGGTCAGAGGGAGAAGCAGACTCCCCATGGAGCTGGGAGCCCGATGCGGGACTTGATCCCAGGACTCCGGAATCATGACCTGAGCCGAAGTCACTTAACCAACTGAGTGAGCCACCCAGGTGCCTGCTACTTCCCCTTTTGAAGTAAGTAGTACTCTTCTTCCTAAGCTAATAGCTGCACTCCTCTCTCATCCCAGCCCATGGCAAAACGCCTGACTCCTAACTGGGACCCTGCTGATGTTGGTGGAATACATTGTTCAAGTACTATTTCACCGTTTCAGCACAAAAGTGCATTCTTTTTCACATTATGTAGGTTGAACCTAAAAAATGCATGCCCCGGCCTATGACAACCACAAACAAAATAGGTGAGCTTATCCCCACAGTGAAATGCAATCCAGTTATGCGACTGAAGGGACTAATCGGGAATGTGTAGGGGTAATAGCTGTAGGATTAATGCTGGGGCTCACAGGACATAATGCTCACCGAGGATTACCCCGCTAAGATTTTCAATAATCACAAAGCACACCAGAAGCCTAAATCAAATCTACCCCCAAATTGAAGTAATAGGACTGAGCCCCGTTTGATTGAAAATGTAACAGGCATCGACCACCAAATTACTGTATTCACTGTTTCTAGTTCAAGACATTCTAGGGCTGCCAAGAACACCATAAAAATAATAAAACTTTACAGTTTATAGCACTTTCTAAAACATTTTTAGACTTAATTCATTAAACATATAACTTGACCAAGAGTGATTTACTCCCCTCCTAGGACATTTGGCAATATGTGGAGACATTCTGGTTGTCACAGCTGGGGGACAAGGAGGATGGTGGCATGCTACTGGCATCCAGTGGGTAGACGCCCGGGACCCTGCTACATATCCTACAATACCCAGGAGAGCCCTCCTGCACCTCCAAAGACTTATCTACCCAAAAGATAAATAGGGCCAAGCTGAGCAACTCCTGCATCTGAGTAACAACGACTTGCAAGACATACATGGTGCCGAATGCTGACAAAGTAACGATCGAGAGGCGGCCGATTGAGTGAGGAGAACCGGCAGGAGACACTGACAACGGGCTGTGAGATGCGCTACGACAGGGGTGTGTACTAGAGGATCCCAAGGGCAGAAGCAGCAACTGCTTAGACCAGGAGGTCAGGGTATGTCCCCAGCAGTGACTTTCCAACCGGAATGTGCAAGACAACTTCATCAAGCAGAGGCTAGCTCTGCATGCTGGCCACGAGAAATCGCATATGCAAAAGCAAGCATCAGTCACCGGCGTTGTACATGGGGCTACAGAAGCCAGAGAGGAAAATGGTGTGTCTCCCTGGAAGGCCAGTCTCATGTGAACAGGAGAAGAAGTTAACAGGTAGAGTAATTTCTTTGGCATTTTTTAAAAATATCAAAAAATATAGGTATATGGAGTAGAATATAAATTTTGCACCATTTAAAAAAAAAATAACACAAGAAGTTGCATTGTTAGACTTCCAATGCTGAAGGTACCAGTTAGGTTGCTCCCACCCTCAGGAATATTTTGGTGACATGTGAGCAATGACAAATGTTCCAAAATAATTAACTCCATGTGTTTGGAGCATAAAGAGGATGCAGGTAAAAGGAAGAAGGTGGTGGCTCTGGTGAGAAATCAGGCTGGACAGTATCATCTTAACAATTCTTAGAGGCCATATCAGCAGTGGGCACCTCCTTCTGGCTGGGCAGGAGCAGTCACTGGAGGCTTGGAGAGAAGGAAATGGCAAGACATTGGTGTTGGGAAAGCCAGAGACAGGAGAAAGGTTAGGGTTATGAGGCAGATATGAAGACAGAATCCACAGGATCAAACTTGAGAGTGATGGAAAAGAAACTTTTTTAGGCTGGGCAGCCAGGGGAGCCAGTAATGAGAATAGAAAATGGGGGGGAAAAAAGGTTTTTATAGTAGGGGTAAAGGTGATCCCATTCAAGCCTCAAGACAACCCTGAAAATTATATGAAACATGTGCAGTCATGCCCAGTTTCCAGAGGAATTCAGTAAGGCCCTAGAAGTAGATGGGCTTGCCCGGCATCACACATCCAACAAAAGAAAAGAGAGATGGTGGCTGGGGCTCTCAGCTCCTGATCTGGGTTCTTTCCACTAACGTCGTCTCTAGCCGCATGGTTGTAACTAACACTGATGATCACAATAGATCAGTTGTGACCAAATTCCCGTTGGCTGTAAGAGCACTGGGTACAGTTCCAAATTGGTGATATTAAGTTAGGAGCTTGTCCACTTCCAAGCAAAGCCCATTTTGACTTCCAGGTAAATCCAAGAGATAATTACTTGTGACTAACTGTGAAATTCAGGACAAATGATTTAATTTTTTTCCCCTAAACTGTTCTTTATCAATCCCTGCATATGATCAGAATAACTTAAAAATCTTATTTTTATAACTTCATAAGCAATCGCCCTGGAAGAAATCAAAATCTAGCAACAGGTGTTAGCACCTACACACCCACCTACATGGAGGAACTGAAATGGCCTGTGTGCAAGCTGTACGCTCAACAGCAGGGCCCCGACTGATGGCCAAAAGACACCTGTGTTCCTTCCTAACCAGCTACCACTACGCGAGTGCATGCCTTCTTGACTATTTGGAAATAAAACATTAATAGCATGCTTTATCTCAGAGGATTTTAAAGTCCAAAACATGCTCCACGACACACATCAGAAATACTCAGTTCACACCAACAATATCGTGTCTCAGTATTAATAGCTGATACTATTAATGGAGCATCATTGTATGCCAGGCACCAGGCCAAGAACTTATGTGATTTATCTCATTCACTCCTCATTATAGGACTTGGAACTATTGCTCTCCTGGTTTTACTGACAAAGAAGTAGGCTCGTAGACGTGAGGTCATGGAGGCCTGAAAGCCAGGACATGAATCCAGATCTAACTGATTCCAGAATTCATGCTCTTAACCACCAGGCTTCCTGCTTCCCCCAAAGACTCTATTATCCTAGAACATAGCTCAGGGCACATCGGGTTTCTATGGTTCTTGTCACCTTCCCTTGAACTTGACAGACATGTAATTAGTCCATTGTCTTAAATCAAGTGTAGCAACTCACAGAGGAAGTGGATTTCCATTCATAGCTTGAAACAATGTCAACCTGAGTTCATGTCATAGCGGTCCTAAGCCACTGACCCTAGCCACCAAAATATTACCTCATCATTAGAAAAAGTGGGTCCCTCACCCATGAACACAAATGGAAAAGGCAGCCCTTTCCCACTCTTATTTTCCTGTCTACCTCTTATTTTTGTGGCTTGTTTGAGTTTCTCATCAGTTCATTAAAAATGGAGTATCGCTTTTTCTCAGGATCAGCTTTCACACACAGTATACCCACTGCAGAATTTATACAAATGTCTACGATGTAAAGATCATGTCTCCTTGCTGGCCAAGGGAACGTTCAATAAACAAGTAAAAAATAATTAAGGTGGGCCCGACACAGTTGACTCCTTCCACTGACCATGTAAAGGGATGGTCTGGAGCCTGAGACTTTGCCGGGGAGATCTGGATTAGGATCTCAACTTGCCACTGAGCCTCCTGAGTAAGCTTAGGATGGTAAAGTGCTTCCCTGAGTCCCAATTTCTTGATCTGTAAAATGGAGACCCTGGAGCCTACCTCCTGTGGTATACATGAGAAGTTAAGGACTGCAAATGTGAAATGTTTTAATACCTGCTCATGACATCAAAGCCCTCGGTAAGTGATAACTTCCACTCCACGAAAGAAAGCACCACAACCTCTGCATTTCTCCCCCCTGAAGTGTAGTATAACTAAACTAAAAGACAGAACACAGCTCTCTGAGCAGGACGGCCCCTCCTGCCTCACCTCCCACCAGCGGCTTTCTAGGTTCCCCAGAACCCCACCCGGGTATACTGACCTGGGAGAGAGGGCATTCTTTGGCTAATGTGCTCTGGTTCATCTCTTTGAGCAGTTCCTTTAAGGCATTGCGGACTGTGGCGTGGTTCCACTGCTCCGCCGGCAAATCTTCCAGCTTCGAACAACTGGGAAAACAGGACAAGAATGAACAAGGCGCAAAAGCTGAATGGAGGGCCCTGGCTGCAGAGGGTATAGAGCGCGACCGTCACGCCGGCCCCTGTGCCAGCAGGGGGACAACTGCTGAAGTTCCAGCTCCAGGGTGGGCCCTGGATGAGGGAAAGGGAGTGAAACTGCTTCTCCAGGATGCATACAGAGCCCAGCTCGGCTCCTTTAAGATTGTTTTCACACTCGCCGAAGAATAGTCACTTCAGATAGGAAGAATTGCTAATAATTTAAAATATGGTTTTTCCAGTTTGTTGATGAAAAAATACCGAGGCAATGTGATTATAAACTTCCACTGTATGAGTTTAATTACTGGACATCCCTAAGGTTTAATGCAGACAAACGGTCCATTAAAATTCAAGGCATGAACGTCTACTCTTCACTCTCCCAGAACAATTCGGAGACATTGTCTTCCTAACCCAGAGTAACTTTTGGGAGAGGACACTAAAGCCTTCCTAGACAAGGATGGGGACGTTGGGGGCCTATGAAGGTGCCAATTCTCCAATATGAGCGAATTCAAAATGCTAACACTAAGGAACAGCATTTCTTAAATCCCATGACTTACAGGCACTTTACACTATAGACACTGCAGAGAACTAGATGCTTTGGAAGCATAACTTGTCCTGGATGCTGTACCTGAAAAAAAATCACGTCCAGAACCTTTGCAGGCCACACAGTGTGCTCCTCTAAGGCAGCCACCAGAAAGGGAAGAAAAAGATGCCCGGTGCCAGCACCTTCCTGGTAAGCCTGCTACCCAGGGACAGAACTCAGCCCTCAAAACACACACCTGAAAACAGCAGAAGTGTTTATTCTTCAAATAGTATGCTAAGCATTTAAACAGAGAACCCATTAAATTAGGGGCTGTGGAAAGTTCCCCTTTAAGGGCCACAGATTTTTAATGATTTATCAAGCTCCCCCCTAGGTTCCCACTTCACTGCTTCTGAAAACAAAACATAAAACAGTTGGAATGTGGATGACAAAGATGCCTGGTGAAGTGTCCCTCCTTCCTTCCTCTCTCTTTCCTCTTTTTTAGTTTTTCATTTCATCCAACATCTAGAAAACAAAGGACATGCCAGTGTCGGCAGCAACTCTGACAGACGGAGTAGCTCGGCGAGTAAGGAAGGGCCTAGGTCCAGAGAAACCCACCTTTGTAACTGGATTTTCAGTGTCACAACATGATAGACGTCCTGCAGCATGTCGGCCACGGTGGCGTCGGGCGCGTCTGTCACATAGCTGAGGGGGAGAGGGTTCCACCTGCCCAGCTTGATGATTCCTGCAGCGAGAAGAAAAACACCGTCAACACATTTCTGCTATTTATTAAACTCTCTCCTTGTTTGCTCAGTGTTCAGGAGGTCATTTAATAGTCAACATTCAAGGCCCACTCAGAAATATTTTACAACCCAGTGCAATAACCTATTTCTTTCTGGCTGACAGCTGAGTTAACGATACAGGAAGATGGGAATGAAAGGATGAGGTTTAATCACGGACAATCAGTTCTTTTATGTTTTCCTGTTTCTTAAATTACTTAGAAAACCATACGGATACTTCCTTCCCCCAAAGTCTTGTTTCACATTCTAACTTAAGACTGATGCTAAATATACTGGACTGCTGATTTCATAGACACACACACACACACACACACACACAAAGCAAGCCTTAAGTAAATATAAGATTTGGTTTTGAATTGTACAAGAAAATTCCTGTGTGTGGGCTCAGCACACACACAGTCACATCCTGACTGTGGTGTGATCCCAGTGCAAACAGCATTTGGAGCTGATGAAGCAGTTCGAGTTCATTTCCAGATTCGTGTTTCACAAGGCAGGGGGGTTATTTTCCAATGGCACAATGACTGACCACAGATCAGAAATAGCAGAGATGTCTTAGACTTCCTTTTTTAAATTGTATTCCTCTGCTCTTTTTAGAGTGACAATGGCACCATTTCGCTGTGGGTTTCCTGCTGCACATGGTAAACGTGCATGACAACGGAGAGAATAAAAATCCTGGTCAAATTTAGGCTACAAAGAGCAGTGACTTTAGGAATACCCGTGTGACAGGAAGATTTGTGAGACAGTTGCAGCAACACGTGCTGAACGGCTAACTTATTCATAAGATGGACCCGTCTTATCTGGTGCAGAAGGGCACATTTAACGTTGATGAAGAAAAATAAAGAAAAACCCATTCGCAAACACACCGTAACACCATTTTTATTTGTAGGTAATGAAAAACCCAACGGTCCCCAAGATGTCCGAAACTGTCACACCTAAGAAACAGCTGTTTTAGTGAAAAGAAAAGGAACAGAATCTTTTTGCTGACAATACAGGTGAGTCCAACCGCACTGTTCTTTCAAAACATTTTTTATCATCCAAGAGAGAGAACACCTGTACACCCAAGTGAACTTCTAAAAGCTTCGCAAAATAATGCCTTGTGGCCGCGGAGTAAAATTCCAGTAACAGGAAATGAACTTTCTGGTCAGGGCACGTCCCGTCCAAGATGCAATAAATGAATGCGCAATGCCTGACATAATGCTTGAAAACAGGGAATAAACAGAGCAAAAATATTAAAATGATGCACTGTTTCAGTATTAAGATCTAACAATCTGGTGCTGAATATGCCGCAGTATAAATAGCGCCTGGACTCCGATCCAGTAGAGCAGCACAGCTCTCATTCATCGCGCCGTATGTCTCCAGCTCGGGCTCCGTAAGTCACATTCCACTTGCCAAGAAAAGCTGTTTTCTTGTGGGGATAGTTTTGCGAACATTCCCTCTCATGACAATGACAAGTGCACAGCAACGCGGCATAAAGGAGCCGGGAAATGAGCATCCAGTGCCCACTGGGCAGCCACCATGAGCAGCCGGGTCAGCGGCTTTGCGTCTTTGACTCCTCCAGACATTTCAAAATTACTTAAAAAGATGACATATAACGTGTCTAACGTAGTTCCTTTCTTTTTTTAAATCACTACATAATTTTAAATTCCTTTTAAAAAATCATTATCCCGATAGCCCGTAAGTTGAGTAGCAATCGACCATATTCTAAAGACGTGGTATATTTCATTGTAAGAGATTGGAAGGAGGGGAAAATGGAGTCAGCAATGGCACCCTGTGACAGTCAAGGAGAAGAAGCCAACTGTGTGGGTCATTTTGGTAACTAAGAATACAAATGTGGGGGCACTTGGTGGCTCAGTGGGTTAAGCCTTAGTCTTTGGCTCTGGTCGTGATCTCAGGGTCCTGGGATCAAGCCCGGCATCGGGCTCTCTGCTCAGCAGGGAGCCTGCTTCCCCCTCTCTCTCTGCCTGCCTCTCTGCCTACTTGTGACCTCTCTCTCTGACAAATAAATAAATAAAATCTTTAAAACAAAAACAAACAAAGAAAAAAAGAATATAAAAGTAACAAGAAGCCCACGATTCCGGCCGACGGCCAAGCACAAAGTTAGAGAAGTTTCCTCCATGCTGCTGTGTAGTGTGTCACTGTTCATTCCTTTTTATTGCTGAGTGGTGCTCCGCTGTGAGAAGAGACACAACGGAGTCACACACAAGAGCATATCTCTGTATGATACAAGATACAAGAACAGGCAAGACTACAGGGCTAATCTATGGGGACCCAAGTCAGAAAGTGGTTACCTCCAGGCAGCAGGGGCAACTGACTAGAAAGAAACGTAAGGGGATTTTCTTGCTTTGGCTGCTGGTTGCATGGGCGTAACAATTGTCAAGTTCATCAAATGCAACACTTAATATGCACACATTTTACTGTGCATAAATTGTACCTCAATACAAAAAAGGGTATTGGGGGAGGGAACTCTGCAGGAAATGGCAGACAAATCACTCGACTGGAAATAGTAATCCCCACTTGGAAAATTCTCTCCCCACCCTGATGAGCTTGAAGGAGACTAGGCCGGAATGAGACACACACAGGTGTCCTCACAACACTTCATACCTCCACAGGGAGCAGCTGCTACAGGTTGGTTTCTCCATCTTGGAAGAGAGCTGCTGACACGTGCTATTTTCAGGCGATGGGAAGCAGCGTGTGCTTTTTCTTTTTCACACCATATTATAACCTGCATGGTCCTGGGAGTCACTTTCTTTGCTCGACAGTCTCCCAGGGTCTGCAGAGCAGGATCTGCTAGGACAGCTATGTCTAGAAGGCTGCTCTCCTCCAGCAGGGAGGGACGTGGCATAACTCTTTCTTAAAAACCTTTCCTTCCAAACAGGGTCTTTGTCTAAAGTATGAACCCTCCTTTGGAAATACATCCCTTGGGATCAATCTCCCTTCACCAACACCAAATAGACAGAAATATTACTCGGGTTAAAAATCAAATGTTAACTGAGGAAATCAAGCTGGGAAGCACTATGACACGGTGACCAAGAACGCAGGCTTCCAAGTGACACTGCTCTGTTCACACCCTGGTTCCTCCGCCTTCTGTGACAGGTCCTGGATCTCTCCAGACCTCAATCCTTTCTCTATAAAATGGAACAATAAAAGTATTGACCTCATTGGAATATTGTGCAGAGTAAGTGTAAAGCCCTTAGTACAGAGCCTGGATATAATGAATCTCAACAATTAGCTGTTTACAGCAATTATTTGACATTCTTAATGCTTCTTTATAAAAAGACATAGTCAACTTATGACTCAAGTTTTTTTTTTCTTTTTTTTTTAATGACTTCATTATCTTTTGATCTTTAATTGGGTCATGTGCCTGTAAAAGGCCTTCATTATTTTAAATCAGAAAGGCAGACTGAGCCTCAGTTATGTCCCTCCCTCTCCTCCCACCTCCCCACTGCCTCCTCCCCATTCATCTCTTCCATCCTTGCCCCCTCGGTGTCTCCTTTCCTCTCACCTACAAGTGGGTTCAGATCACCCCTACTTTAAAGGAACAAAAACATGACAACAGTCTCGTTCCCTTCAGTCTCGCATGCTCCTGCATCACCAGAGGTACACCAGAAGCTCATGCCCAATTCTCCATCAGACTTTCACCACCTAGATATTTATTTTTCGACTCTTTCCAAGAGGAAATGGAGGTTCAGAAAGGTTGCATTGCCTTGAGTGGTCGCACCAAGGCAATGACTAAACCCAGATTCACTTCAAATACTACGCCCTCAGTCTTCTCAGTATCCCATCAGTCACAAGGGTTCAAGTGAGAAGCACAGAAGACTGGAAAAGAGCCTGACTCCATCTCTGGGAGGCCCTGAATGCCTGACTCAGAAGCACACCGGGGTCAGAGGTGAGGGGCAAGGCCTGGAGTCAGAGAGCAGCCTTCTCTGCTAGTTAGCTGTGAGACTTTGATGGAATTGTTTCTCTCTCCAAGTCTCTGTTTCCATTACCTGTACGATTGGGATAAAAGCAATGTCTACCCTCCGGGGGTGTCACAAGGCTCTGAATGAGAATGAGAATTGAATGCTAGAACTGACCCACAGTGAATGCTCAGTAAATATTCGGTGGGTGGGGAGAGTAGGTCCTTGGAGTTTTTTAGTGTAGACGTAACACCACCAAAGCAAAGTGATATGAAGATTCATCGACAGCAAATGCAGGTGTATTAAACGAAGGCAACCTTCTAAGGGGGCGATAGAGCTGAGCAATCCAGATGGGTGTGTCTAAATACAACCTTTAATAGCCTCTTCCATGCTCCCTCCACAGAGGGATAGACACCCCACCCGATGCTACAGTGCGGCCAAGGAGCACGAAGAAAGAACAGGCTATGGGCCTGCTGGGGATATCTGACTTGCCGTGCTGGAGAACCCTCAATGAAAACAGCCTATCTGTAAGTGTACGCACAGAATTTTCAGCCCTCACACTTTGTGAGTAGGCTTTACAACCCCTATGTGAAAAGTGAAAACTAATGATTACATTAGGTAGTACTACATCCACACACACACACACACACACACACACACCCCTCCAGCCCAGCCAGGCACACAGTAAATGCTCAATAAATATTTCTTCCCTGAATACACTTCACACTCTTACCGTGAAGCACTGATTCCCAACATTCATTTCTAGAAATAGTACACATTCTTCAAATTCTCCCTGAAAATAATTCTAACACTGATCAGCCTAGCCTTTTCTCTCCATGGCATCACAGCAAATATTCTTGGTCCGTCTGTGTATCTTATAAAGAACTTACTTTATCACAATACCCTTTTATGTTACTTTATAGTTTGTGAAGCGTTTTTTGGTTTTTTGTGGGTCCTCTCCCCCAGAGCATTAGTTCATCCTCAGGAGGACAGCAAGGGGCCAGTATTATACCTGGAAGCGAGCCGAAGCCCTTTCAAGCACATCAGAT